TGATGGTTTATAATCTCCACGGTAACATACGGCATTTGCATGGTCTAATTATACGGCCTCTGTGCGCCGCTTCTCTGTGCACAGGTCAGTCTGAATTTAATCAGGAGCGACTGGGGGAGATGTAAACTTGGAAGGTGCAGGGAACATCGTGGAATAGAGGAACTTTGGAGCTCAGAGTCGGTGATGAGAGGAAGGGAGAGTATACGATCTTGGTATACAGGGGGCGCTCTGGGACAGTTCTACATTTGCTTGTTTACTATGAATGTTGGTTAATCTGCTTGTCTGTTATTGATCACGGACTGTTTCACTGTTTCATTTTCAAACTTTCTGCTAATTAAAAAGATGATGTAACACTTCTATGGGGGATTCACTGCACACGTTACATATTTAGATCATCATGTTATATTTTCTCATTTGAAAAAAAACTGCTAAGTTCGCTGAAAACAACTTATTAGCATGTTTTATAAGTTTCGCTTTCATTTTTGATACTCTGAGTCAGAGGTGGGATCAAGTTGTTGTCAAGTTGCAAGTCTCAAGTAAGTCTCAAGTCTTTGACCGCAAGTCTGAATCAAGTCCCAAGTCATATACGGGCAAGTCCAAGTCGAGTCCCGAGTCACTGGTCCATAAGTCCAAGTCAAGTCCAAGTCGTCTGCTTTGAGCTTCATTTCAAGTCTTTAAACCAAAATACCAAATACAACTTATGCAATTTATATGAATTTTAAAGTAAACTGTACTTCAAAAGTGGCCACACCGGCTTGTCAACGCCTGATCCCATCAGATCTCAGAAGCTCAGAAGGGCTGGTTAGTACTTGGATGGAGACCAGTGGGAAAATCAGGAGCCACAGGGGGGAACTAGTCACAAAAACTGTTGTTGTGTTCTTAGGCAAGACACTTCACCCACATTGCCTAGTAAGAAAGTGTTGTGTGTGTGAGTGATGGTTGGTTGTCAGAGAGGGCCGATGGTGCAGATTGGCAGCCTTGCTTCTGTCAGTCTGCCCCAGGGCAGCTGTGGTACAATAGTAGTTTACCATCACTGAGTGTTGAGTGAATGAATAGTGAACTGTAAAGCGCTTTAGGTATCTTGAAAGGCGCTATATAAATGCAATGATTAACAAATCAATTAACAAATTCATTAAATTCATTAAAATGTCATGGTATATTTATATATGAGTATTTATAGAGTATAAGAGATGTAGAAATTATGTTTTAGTGTAGAAATGTAGAAATTCCTTTTTTTTTTTTTTTTTTCTTTTTAAATGTCTTGACAAGATCTCAGTGTGAATCATTACGGTCAGAATAGAAAGAATTCAGATTTAAAGTTCTTCTCAAGTCACAGGCCTCAAGTCCAAGTCAAGTCCCGAGTCTTAGTCCATTTTATCAAGTCAAGTCTCAAGTCCTAAAAATAGTGACTGCTAGTCATGACCTGCAAGTCCCCACCTCTGCTCTGAGTCCCCTTTCCCTTTGCTCTCTAAATCACTCCCCCTTCAGATCATCAAGACTTGAGTAAAACTTGAGACTTAAAACAAGAATTTGGTCCTTATTGCTTGCAGGTCTAGTTTGTTTTACTTTTCTGACCTAAGTTGGTTTGATATAACTGTTTGAATGAATATGATGAATGTTGTGTGTGTGTGAGCTACAGTCGTCCATCAGTCTGCCCCAGGGCGGCTGTAACTACAGAACAAAGTGTAGGTTGGATGAATTAAGATCACAGTGGAGAGGTTTTTCAAGCCTGTAAAGTTTTGCATCTCCGGAGAAGAACAAGAGCATTTATCTGCTCATACGAGTATATGTACAGTACTGTCTGTGTTGTGAGACGGAGCAGATCTTGGGCTGTGACTGGCTGACTGTGACAGGTGTGACAGGTGTGACAGGTGTGACAGGTGTGACAGGTGTGACAGGAGCAGACATCTTCCTGGTTGCGTTTACACTTGTTCCTCATTAGACATCGTGTTTCTGTCGTGTCATCAGCGACTGTGAGACGATACAACATCCTCAAAATCCTGAACACGAAGAACACGGAACACGAACAGAGACACGGTCAGAGAACGAGGGAGGAGAGGGTCAGAGGAGGAGAGAAGAGGAGAGGAGAGGAGAGAGAGACAGAGGGAGAGGGAAGGGACAAAAAGAGAGACAGAGAGGGGGAGAGAGAGAGAGGAGGAAGAGAGACAAAAAGAGGCAGAGTGAGAGAGGCAGGAGGAGAGATAGAGAGAGGGAAGGGAGAAGAGGAGAGAAAGAGAGAGGGTGAAAGAGAGGAGTAGAGACAGAGAGAGGGAGAGGAAACAAACAGGGAGAGAAAGAGACACACCGAGAGAGAGAGAGATAAGAGAGAGAGAGAGAGAGAGAGAGAGAAAGAGAGACAGAGGGAGGGGAGGAGAATTAGAAATAGGGAGAGGAAGACAGACAAGGAGAGACTGAGAGAGGGAGAGAAAGAGAGACAGAAAGGGAGAGGAGGAGAGACAGATAAAGAGGGAGAGAGACAGGGGGAGATAGAAGAGGAAAGAAGGAGAGGAGGAGGGACAGAGAGGGAGAGGGGAGGGAGAAGAAGAGAGCAAGAGAGAGGAGGAGAGACAGAGAGAGGGAGAGAAAGAAAGATAGAGAGGGGGAAAGGAGGAGAAACAGAGAGAGGAAGAGGAGGAGAGACAGAGAGAGGAAGAGTGAGAGAAAGAGAGACAAAGGGAGAAAAACAGAGACAAGAGACAAAGAAAGTGAGACAGAGAGGGAGAGAAAGAGAGACAGAGAAAGAAAGAAAAGAAAGAAAGAAGAGGGAGAGAGGAGAGAGACAGAGAAAGAAAGAGAGAGGGAGAGAAAGAGAGACAGAAAGAAGGAGAGGAGGCGAAACAGAGAAAGGGAGAGGAGGAGAGGCAGAGAAAGGAAGAGTGAGAGACAGAGAGGGAGAGAAGAGAGAGAGAGGGAGAGAGGAGAGACTGAGGCAGAAAGGCAGAGAAAGGGAGAGGAGGGGACAGAGAGAGGAAGATTGAGAGAAAGAGAGACAGAGAGGGAGAGGAAGAGAGACAGAAAGAGGGAGAGGAGGGGACACCAAGAGAGGGACAAGAAGGGAGAGGAGAAGGAGGCAGAAGAGAGAGAGAGAGAGGAAGAAGAGGGAGAGGAGAGAAAGACAGAGAGGAAGAGAAAGGGAGAGAAAGAGAGACAGAGAGGAAGAAAGAGAGAGACAGACAGGGAGGGAAAGAGAGACAGAGAGGAGAGCAGGAAGAGAGATAGAGAGACGGACAGAAGAGTAGAGAAATAGAGCACAGAAATGAGAGAGACATTGTGACACATTGACAGACAGCAGCATGTGCATAGGCTGTATATGTAGAGTTTGATGTTTAATAGAAGAGTTGTGTGTGTGTGTGTGTGTGTGTGTGTGTGTGTGTGTGTGTGTGTGTGTGTGTGCGCGTGCGTGTGTGTGTGTGTGTGTGCGTGCGTTGTGTGTGTGTTTATAAACGCTGCATTAACAACAGCATCAGTGTTCAATTGTAAGTGTCACTTGTCGTTATCAGATATATTTCTCTGTCAGCACAAAAGACTCTGCGACGGTTCGGGTGAATGAAAATGTTAAATTGCTCCCCCTTCAGAGCGCCATCACATTGCAATCAATTGTAGTGTATGTTTCTACTGTACTTTTGTATATTTATGGAGGGTTGTCGTGTGGGAGTGTGTGTGTTGTAAGTTTGTGAGCAGGGACGGAGTGGGCGTGGTACATGGGGGTACGCCGTCCGCCCGTTTCTCCCGACGTAACAAAATATAAGAGACTGAAAATAACAAATATAAAATAGCTACAATTTAAATGTCAAACCGGAACTACAGGCGACGACGAAAACAAACTGCACAGACTCATGAAATCTGCACTACTGTCCTATAAACCTGAGACATGAAGGACCAGGACTGAACCAGGACTGAACCAGAACTAAACCAGGACTGAACCAGGACTGAACAAGGACTAAACAGGACTGAAACCAGGACTGAAACAAGGACTGAAACAGGACTGGACAGGACTGAAACAGGACTGAAAACCAGGACTGAACCAGGACCTGAACAAGGACTGAAAGGACCAGGACTAACAGGACTGAACCAGGACTGAAAACAGGACTGAACCAGGACTAACCAGGACTGAAAACAGGACTGAACCAGGACTGAAAGGAGGACTGAACAGGACTGAAACCAGGACTGAAACAGGACTGAACCTGAGGACTAAACCAGGACTGAACCAGGACTGAACAAGGACTGAACAGGACTGAAGGATCAAGGACTAAACCAGAACTGAAAACTGAACAAGGACTGAATGAACAGGACTGAACAGACTGAAACAGGACTGAACCAGGACTGAAACAGGACTGAACAGGACTAAACCAGGACTGAACCAGGACTGAACCAGGCCTGGTCCAGGACTGAACCAGAACTGAACCAGGACTGAACCAGGCCTGAACCAGGACTAAACCAGAACTAAACCAGGACTAAACCAGGACTGAACCAGGAATGAAACAGGACCGAGTGTCGGGACGGGCCCCAACGGGCTACACGGGTCCACCTGGGGTCCACCCTCTCTCTCAAGACCTCGTTTAGTCCTGGTTTAGTCCTCGTTTAGTCCTGGTTCATGTGTTGTAGTCTTTGCTTTATATTCTGTAGGTGATTCTGAACGCCAGTAATGTTAATAACATGATTCCGCATCATTCTGAGTGAGTTTTTTCGTGATGACGTCATGAATCTCATACCCCCACTTAAAAAATCTCCACCACTGCCGGGGAGAGATCACTAAATTGCTCGAACGTGGTTGGAGGACATTTAAAATCTCTTCAGGTATATTTTTGATGGGGAAACAAAGCTGCAACAAAAATCGATTTTGCATAATACCTCCTTTTTAAACCAACAATTTTGTGAAGCCCCGTGAGGCGTGTGCTGTTGTCATCCTGGACGACACAAAAAATAAATTGAATTGTCTGTCTGTTGTCTTCGAATACTAATGTTTCCCCGTCCCTGTCTCTCTCCCTCCGTCCCTGTCTGTGGTCAGGTCCGTGGGGCAGGTGCATGGGCAGCGAGTGCGGTCCCGGGGGCAGCCAGAGCAGGGCCGTGTGGTGTGCCCACGTGGACGGATGGACCACCCTCCACACCAACTGCGAGCAGAGCCTGCGCCCGTCCAACCAGCGCAACTGCTTCAGGGTGTGCGACTGGCACCGAGACCTGTACGGCTGGAGCCTGGGCGCGTGGAACAGCTGCGTGCCCGTGATCACCAGGTAAACATGGCACCGGGTTTGGGATGAGAGGGATTTTAATGGCTTATTCGGAACGTTTACATGCACGCTAGGGAAAAGTATAACAGCTGGATAACTGGTGTAGTCCAATTTAAAAGTCCTTTATTACACAAAATGGACTCTTGAGAGCTTTAATCCAGGTTAGAATGCTGTTACCTCCTCAAAAACAGACCTGAGTTGTGTTTTGTTTCATTCACACATGTTTGAGTAACACTTTTTATTAGTCTGTTTACATTTCTGAAGCTCAGTATACTCCACCTTGTTCCACCTTGTGATTAGTCTGATTCATCAGACAGTTTCACTTCGTAGAAACCGTCTGACCTCGCAGTGTTAGGATTCATTCGCTCAACAGTAGACGGGTACATTTTTTTTCATTTAACCAGTCGCTGCTATTTGGTGGTGACGTTTGTAATGCACCACTAACTTGGCTAACTGGTATATTAAGCTTTTAGCTTTGTGAGCTGCAGCCTCACAGTCCCACGTTTCGACTCTAGCACACCTCCTTGGAGATTATGATCGGGTTTTTTGAGTATCCCGGTTTCATCATGGTGCATGTAAACACAGGATCCTGGTTACTGCAACATAAAGTTGAGTGTGCATGCGTCCAAAAGACAAACACTTTTATAAAAAATAAAGTGATCAACATAAATAGAGTTAAATAAAAAGCTGCACTAAACCTGCACACGTCTGAGCTCTGAAAACATGAAGTAATATATATAAATATACACACAGACACACACTCACCATCATCATCATCATCATCATCCCTCAGTCACAGAGAGAACACTCATATTCCACTGAGCCGTGTCCTTTAGTCCGACAGAAGCTGAACCACATCAGCGCACAAGGAAAGAGCTGGTTTTTTTTCAGCGCTTATAGTTTATGTAAATGAGTCATGTGGTTTTAAGTTTTGTTTCTGTAAAACATAAACAAATGTGTCAAAGCTGAATTAAACACATTATAATGTGAAACAGGCTGATGTGGCTCTAGAGTGATTATAGTTTATATGTTGTAAAGTTGAGTTTATTTATACAGATTAGTAATAATAATAATAATGATAATTTTAATATCAAAATAAAGATTTTTATAACTTAATTTTTTTTATAATGATATAAAATTGTATTTATTTTTATTTTATTTGTATAACTTTTTAATTAATATAAAAAAGGTGACTTGGTATGTTGGAGTATGTTGGGTATAAGTGGCTCTCTTGATTTTTTCTCTTCCAATGTGGCAAAAAAAAAAAAAAAAAAAAAAAAATATATATATATATATATATATATATATATATATATATATATATATATATATATATATATATATATATATATATATATATATATAGTGAGTATCACTGGTGTAGACTTTTGCCAAGAAGAAGTGAAAAAGCAGAAGAGTGCAAAACTTTTTCTGATTGGTTGATTACACATTATGGGAAAGTCCATCAGAGAGTTTCGTTTGAAACGCCCACGCTGCAGACCGACACTCCTCAGAAAAACAGGCATTCTGAGTGTGAACGGGGTCTCTCCACAAATCTGACCTGTAACTTGTTCTCCTGTAACTTGGTTTAATCTCCGTGAATATAGAAAAGTTTAATGTCACACTGTGAAATATTCCAGACAAAGTAATAACATCTCCATGGAGAAAAGCATTTGACAGACCCTCCACCTGAAAAGTGACACAATGCATTTTTAAAGTTTACTGGTGAACATTTAATACCATGTCATTTTCAACATGGACTAACCCTGCCTCTCTCCCCACAGGAGCCCAGATGCCCTCCCCCGATGCCCTGCTCTGGGGGGGAGGAGGGGCTACAGACTCGTGAGGTGCGCTGTGTCCTGAAAGCGGACGACTCCAGCGCAGAAGACTCCATCTGCGAATACTTCGAGCCCAAACCTCGTCTGGAGCAGGCCTGCCTCATCCCCTGCCCCCAGGACTGCGTGGTGTCCGACTACTCCCCCTGGACTTCCTGCTCCAAAACCTGCGGCACTGGACTCCGAAACCGGGTCCGGAGCGTGCTGGTGCCCCCGGTGTTTGGAGGAGCACAATGCCCCAACCTGACAGAGTTCCAGTCGTGTAAACCTGGAGCGTGCACGGGACCGGAGAATATGTACAGTCTCAAAGTGGGACCCTGGACTCCCTGCGCCCTCCCCCCCGCCAGGGAGAAACGCCAGGCCAAGAGGAGGCGGGGCAAAGGGGAGGGGCCACGGGACAGAGGGGGCGGGGTCAAAGATCCAGAGACTAAAGAGCTGATTCAGAAGAAGAGGACGAGGAACCGGCTGAACAGGCAGGAGAGCCCCTTCTGGGACATCCAGGTGGGCTACCAGAAGCGAGAGGTGGTCTGTGTGCATCGCAACGGGAGCACTGTCTCTAAACAGTAAGTCACACTTTAATATAACCCTAACCCTAACCCTAGTAATGAAGTAAACACTTTTTTTTTTTTTTGAGACAGGGACAGCACACAATTTTGATGCTTTGTACATCAGGTTGTAACACTAGTGTTAATTTCCACCTGTCGTCCCTGGGCAGATTCATTGACTGATTGTATTTAACTGACCTTAGCTGTCATCTGTTCTTCCTGGAGACCTATGAAGCATGTTTTGGGTAACAGTTAGTCTTGGTTCAACTTAAAGGTCTTACTGTATATTACACAAAATTTACTCTTAAGAGCTTTAATCCAGGGGTTCTTCACCTTTTCAGTCTTGGGGCCTGACTTTTTCTGAACACAGTAACCTGGGGCCCTATCTCATATTAAATGCATTATATTGTACTGATTATTGTGGGGCCCACAAGGAGGTGGTCCAGGCCCTACTTTGGGCCCCGGCCCCATGGTTAAGAATCACTGCTTTAATCCATGTTAGAATGTTGTTACCTCCTCAAACATATACCTGGAGTCATGTTTTGTTTCAATGACACATGTTTGAGTAACATTTTTATTATTACCTCTGCCAAGGAGGTTATGTTTTTGCCGGCGTTTGTCTGTTTGTTTGTTTGTCTGTTAGCAACATAACTCAAAAAGTTATGGACCGATTTTGATGAAATTTTCAGGATTTGTTGGAAATGTGAAAAGGGGGTGATCTGGAAGAAATCCTGGATTCTGGATCACTTTGAAATTTTAATTAACATTGTGGTAAATGGGGCCAAAAATTTTGTTTCTCAATATCTCGGTTAATTATTGACCAAACCCCATGAAATTTGACTCAGGGATGGACAATGGGATCCTCTTTCATATTCCAAAGGCTGATCCAGATCTGATCCAGAAGACTGATTTTATTGCAATTTATATAAAAAATGGGGGTAGTCCTTGGCGGAGGTCTGCGCTCTCTGAGTGCTTTTCTAGTTATAGACTGTTTTACATCTTCAAAACTCCAAATGCTCTGTTCCACCTTGTGATGTCATGAAGCAGTAGTTTTCATGATGGTGTAACGCAGGTGACAAAACCATGTCTAGCAATTAGTGTTACAGTCAAGAGCGCACAAATCGAGGCCAAGACTAGTCCAAAACCACAGGGTCCTGAGACCAGGTCAAGACCGAGACCTCTGAGGATCAAGACCGAGACAAGACCAAGACTTTCAGAGACAGAGACCGAGACAAGACCAAGACCACCTCCCATCGTAACTAAATCAAGGCCATCTTTGTAATTTTTGTGGTATATGGTGACATGACGTACCGTGCACTGTCCGATGGCTCCAGATGTGAGCACAGGCTGCAGTGAGAAGCCCCACGTGCTCCCACACACCGGTACAAGTTTATTGCCGACAGCAGCGGCCGTAATGAAATATGATCGCACTTGTTGAGCGTCAGACCTTGGGTCCGTGACAAAACCGAGTCCAAGCACCTTCAAGACCGAGACGAGACCAAGTCGAAACACGGCCGAGTCCGAGCCGAGACCAAGACCATAAAAAAACGGTCTCAAGAGCAAGGTGGATCTCGAGACCTGTCTTGCTCTTGAGATCAACCTTAGTCTCTTGTCCGGCTACTGCTCCTTGATTTTACGTCCCCTTACGGACAGATCGATTGTAAAGGTACAATTTAAGGCACCTTCACGCACTCGTTGCTCTGTGACCGTCACTCCACCGCTCACTCCCACTCCTCACGGACAGTTATCCCCTCTGGACTCGTCATTCTCAAGTCGTATAAACTGTCACTGTCATGCATTGAACTTTGCCTTAAACTGTTCCTTTATAACGGATCGGTGCACTCCAGATCAGTTCTCTCGTGGACAATCAAAACTTGAATATTAATACATTGTAAATATATTGGATTTCTACCTATGAACTTTTGTATGAATGCATTGTAAATATTGGGTTGCTATCTCACTGAATGGTTGTGTTTGTCTAGTATCTACTCTCTAATACGTTGTACCATGTAAACAATTTCCAGTCTCTGCCTCTCTGTGATTGGCAATTCAGGGTCTGAAATTATCCAAATGATTCTAGTGAAGGTGTATGGAGTTTAAAAACACAGTGGAGCACTTTCTACATTACCACATGACATCACAAGGTGGAACAGAGTGTTTTCTGATTTTGCAAAGAAGCAGAGTTTATGTGTTAAACATGTGTGAATGAAACAAACACAACTCTTTATGTTTGTGATGAGGAAACAACATTATAACATAGATCAGAACATAATGTAATTTGGCCACTTTAAGATTTAAAGGTGCAGTATGTAACTTCTCTGATGGTGGGGTTTCCATGGAGATGTTATTGCTATGCCTGAAATGTTCCACAGTGTGGCATTTCACTTACAGGTGTTTTTATTCCAATGAAAATAAAAATTGCTTCAGAAAAACAGACATTCTACAATGAGTGTGTACACATGCACATCAGTATCCCGGTTATTAGCCATATCCTGGTTATGTCAGTATTCGTGTTACTGCGTTTACATGCGCACTGAGAAACCGGGACACTCATATTAGCGTGTACATGATCAAATGGAGTATCCCGGTTTCTTGACATAATCTTACAAATGCGTAAGCTCAAAAATTAACTTAAATCAATTTAATAAACCAGAAAAAATCAAACCATGAGCTCCTTTAGCAAGAAGAAGCTTGGGAGGTTTAACCAGCGGTGAGGAGATATGAGATCTCCCACAATCCACTGCACAGATCAAACCCAACAGATTCTTCATTAAAATCTTCTGCATAAATCAACTCAACTTTATCAAAACCATAACCACTATAGATCCACATCAGCCCGTTTGATCAGATCATTCAGCTCTGATCACATTTGTTTACATTTTACAGAAACGAAACTTAAGACCGCTTGGCTGATGTGATCAGCTTCTTTTGGACTAAATGACACGACTCAGTGGATTATGTGTGTTCTTTTTTTGACAGAAGAGTTGCTGATGATGTTAAGTCTGTTCTGTGCATGTGTTGTATAAGAGATAGTTCATGTTTTAGCTTTTCAGCGATCACACGAGTGCAGGTCGTACGAGTGCAGATTGTACATGTGCAGGTTTAGCGCAGCTCTTAATTTTACAGTAATTTTACTCGTGTGGTCACTTTATTTATGTTGGTCACTTTATTTATGTCGCTGTTGTTGTGGGGAAAAGACTCGAAAGTGTCTTTTGGACGCGTGCACACTCAACTTTATGTTGCAGTAACCGGGATACTGCGTATACATGCCACAGTAACCCGGTTACTATCGGAATATACCAGCTACAGTAACCCGGTTTCTAATAACTGGGATACTGCTATAACTGGGATACTGAAACCGGGTTATTGATGTGCATGTGTACACACTCAGTAGTGTGGGAGCTTGCCTCTCCACAGACTGGTGTCACCTGGGTCTCCATGGAAATAAGCAAGTTTAATGTCATAGTCTGGAACATTCTGAGCCAATAAAATGTTGATAAAAATATATTTTACTTATGTTTACCGTCAAGGCAAAAATACACACTGCTCTGAAAGTTTATATCATCCAGAATTTTGCTTTTACAGTGAACATTTCGTAACTGATAAAACCTTAAAGAAGACCTACTGCGCTTGTGTTTGCTGTAAAAATTTGAACATTTTTAAACTCAATATTCATCTAAAACGACTTCATAAGAGAAAGTAGCAGCAGGTTTTTCTTTTCATTTGTACAAAAATGACTACGCAACGCTGCCAAATCCTACGCGTATCACTGATTAAGAAAATAAAATTGGAAAACGAAGTAAGTACAAAGCAGCGGGCGTACGGCAGTGGCGCTGAAAATCGGGGTTGATCTGCAGTGTTTTGATACTAATCGTTTTAAGATTGCTCAAACAGACATGAATCACTTCAAATACAACTTCAGGTGAGTTACAACGAAATTTCTGATTACAAAAAAATAGTTTCATTCTTTTTTTTTTGTTGTTTTTCTTTCTACATATTTCATCAAAATTCGTGATTAAAAAGCGGTGTCAGTTTCACTCGCTGACTTGACAATTGCATCAGGAGAAATAATGGAGAACGATCACAGCGGTGTTTAAAGCCTTAACCCGAGCGGAGACTCAGCAGAGGGAATATAGGCCTCTTTATCTTTATGTTAAAAGTAACTGAAAAAACTAAAGAAAAGTTGCTTGTATAAAAAGTCTCGTTTTGCATTTTTAGACAAGTTTTCTTCAGTTGTTCAGTTCAGTTGTTTTGTTGTTTGTCGATGTTTCTGACTGTTGTAATTTTCTAATTTCAAGAGATAAGATTTGCATCTCCACAGATCTGACCTGTCACTTAGTCTGGTTTGGTCTCCATGAAGATAGACAGGTTTAATGCATGGAGAAAAACAGACCCTCCACCAGAAAAGTTACTACAATGCACCTTTAAATATTAAGTTATTAGTCAAGTAGAAGTACAATATAGTGGTCCTAGAAATGTCTCGGGCAGAGTTGTCGTGAGGGGAACTATTAGATTTATAAACATGAAATAATAATTCAAAAATGATGAGAAAACTAAATCATATCTGAAGGAGCAGCTGCCGGAAACACAAACGTTCAAATCATTTCATATTGTCACATAAAGATTTTGTCACTTTAAACTTACTCACAGCGGGAAGAGGAAGCACAACTTCAAGACTTTATTACAGACCTTTTTCAAGTGAGAGTGCATTTACACGGGCTAACCCTCGCCCTAATGTTTGTGCTGACAGGTGCTTACACACACACACACATAAACACACACACACATACACCACATTGATACTAGGCAATGTGGTGAAGAACACAACAACACCACTGTAGTATTTGATATTTCCAGAGGTCTCCCAAGGAACTAACCAGGCCCAGTCCTGCTTGTCCTCTAAGATGTGACCAGGCCAGGCTTTGACGAGGAGGTCTGGTGCTGCTGGTGGGGGGTGATGGTGCTGGTGGGGTTGGTGGTGCTGGTGGGGTGGTGGTGCTGGTGAGGGTGATGGTGCT